AGCAAAACCTCCCAAAAAAGTTAGAAAAGGAATCTAAAAATTTCAGATTATTCAAACGTCACTCCAATATTTTTCCAAATTGGAGTGAAATTGGGGTGACAATTTTTAACACGTAAGGAGCCATCTGGATTATGTGTTATCTGTGGTACTATATATGTACTATTTATACGCGAAAATTAAATGTATTACAGATACTCCTGTACTGAGCACATTATAAATAAGTTTTTTTCCTGTATTTACAGGAAAAAACTTATTTATATATTATTTATTATTAAAAAAGTTATTTAACTTTCTTATCGTTTGCATTTATGCCCATGATGCGTTATTTTTTACCATCATGGCAAATGTAAAATCCCTCTGTCAAAAAAGTTACTGATATTCTTAAAACTGAGTGCCTGAACGAATCAGATAGGTAACTCTTTTTACTTTCGTAAAATAGAAAAGGAAAATACTAAAACAAGTGACACTTCTTCCTCTTCTTGCAAAAATCAACACAAAATGTCATAATTGTTAAAAGTAAAATGTCATCAGCTTTTGACATTTCTAAATATCCGACAACAAAGAAAAATGTATGGCCGCAAGTTGCTAACCTAATAAAATTAACACTAGAAAAGCCCGCGAGAACTGTCAAATTCAAAGTTTTTCGTTTCACAGACTATATGTATGGCTGGCTGCATTATGTGTATATGTCGTGACAATGATAATAAACTGTAGTTGTAGTTTACAGCATAGATAAATGAAACAAGTTTAGATTGGAAAGTGCCCATAAGGACAATGTAAACACTATTTGGCGCTATTCTTTCAACGGTCGCGACCCAAAGCTTTTGATAATTTCGGATCGGTTCGGCTTTATGTAGCCAAATATTATATTTATTCAAATTTATTATTTTCTTTTAATTTTATAAATAAAATACAGTGTGTTGCATACAAGAAATCTTATTTTATATAAGGACATGTATGTGAAATACCTATGAAACATTGGAAACCGACGTTATGCCACGATCCGCAATGGTTTTTGCAATTCACAGTTCACAACACAGTTTTTTAGTTTTAATGCCACTTTTTCACAATTATCACGGGTTTGAGCAAGTAAAATTTGAATTAAACTCACACGATAACAATAATTACTTTGGGAATGGACGCTTTAAACACTTTTCGGTATTTTTTCAATGAGAGCGGTTTCGATTTTGAAAGATTTTATAATTTTTGAAGATTCTGACTATGACAAGAGAAAATTATTTCTGTTTTTGTTTGGCGGTTGTTCTTAGCAACCGCTATAGCAGCGCCAGATGGCATACAACGGTCGCGACCCAAAACAATTATATATTTTGTCGGGCTTTCCAAACTAAATTTATTTCCTTTATCTATGGTTTATAGTGTCTGCTGTTTTTCAATAAAAGTTTACTAAGTTTTGCCTTTACCCCTGATTTATTTTCAAGCCGAGTCTCCGAACAATAATACAACACCGTGCTGGCCACGATTCAATTGAAAGAACCGTATTCTAAGCAGTAAATCGAGTCTCACGATTCATTTTTAACACTCTCAAATGAACGACTCGTTCAATCTTTGCCCACCTCTAATACGGTGACTTTTTCACGTGTACAAAATTGCAAATGTGTAAAAATATACAGAATGTCACTTAAAATTCTTTACTTACTTCAATAAGATTTAAAGCGGACATATGAAAATCCGCCTTTACTTCCGAATTTTGATTAACTATTTTGAACCCAACTGTTATATTTATTTATTTCATAAAAATCAACAAATTAGGCATTGATAGCGCATTGATCAATCTGCTAAGATAAAATAGATAACGTTTCTGTACGAATTCTGTACTTAGAACTTACCGGAAGCTAAAAAGTTTGCAACCTCGAGCATAAAGTAATTTGCAAAAGCACTATGCGGTCCTCCATGTGGCCATACGATTAGAGGAACTGTTGCATTTTCTCCATTTTTCGGACCTAAGTATATGGCGTTGAAATCACCTACAAATAAGTACATATTTTAAAGCATTATCTACATTTTTTTTAAAGTCTACATTAAATTATCCCATATATTATTATTATTAGGTTTATAATAGTAACAAGCCCTGTTGGAACAAAAAGCTGGTCACTCTTGGACTTCTTAACAGAGCTAACTCCAGTGATATCGAGAAATTAACTGAGTTCAAAAAGGAAATAAGAAGGGCAAAGCGATCTGACTTTGGATCTTCTTGCGAAAACATCACTTCTACTCCATATGCAGATAGGCTACACAAAGCCATGGTCAATATCCCTGATATGGCACTTAAGAAATCTGACGGAAGTTACACGAAAGGACATGAAGAGAGAGCTAACCTCCTACTTCATACACACTTTCCAAGTAGCGTATCTATTGATACGCATGTAGTTCCGACTGAATACCCATAATCCTTGAAGGGAAGACTTGCAGGTAGCCAAGCTAGTAATAACAGAACAAAAACTGAAATGGGCTATTCACACCTTTCAGCCTTATAAAGCAGCAGGAGTAGATGTGATTTTCCTGCCCTTCTAAAGAAAGGTCAGAAATAGCTACTCATCATCTAGTAAGCATTTCAAGAAGCAGCTTAGCGATGGGATATATACCAACCATCTGGAGAAGAGCAAAAGTAATCTTCATACCCAAACCAGACCAAACTGACGGGCCTATTAAGTCCTAAATGATATAGGGTTGGCCCAGTCAGTTTGATTGAGACTAATGTTCGTTCATACTAAAAACGATGGAGAAAGTAGTGGACAACCATATTGGAGAAAAGCATCTTAAGGTTAAACCACCGCACTGTAGTATATTTATACAGGGTGGTCCGAACTGTATTCCGGAAACTTAGGCGCATATTCTACAGTTAAAAATAAGTAAAAAAGTTCGTATAAATATATGTCCTAAAAATGCTTGGTTTCGGAGATAGAGAGTGTAGAAGTATCATTTTTATTTCGATTTTTTATCGTCAAAGTAACATCAATATTTAGACGAATTTGGCGTCTGGGAGTTTTTTGACATAATAAATTTGGATTTTGATGTCAATTTGACTCCTATTTGTAGGAGGCGCCATCTACATGTGTTTTAACTGTTTTGATGAGTATTCGTCCGTACCTGTATAGAACTACTGCGTAAAAAATATACATTTCCGTGATTTTTTTACGTAAAAACCGTTCCCGAGATATTTAGAATGGAAAGAGTCAATACATGTCATTATTGACAATAAATAAACATGTCGAGTAGATAGTTATTTGACTGAAATGATAAATTTGGAAACTTTTATTTTTTTTAATTAATCATAATTTGTTCTTCGAAAAAATCACGATAAAACAGTTTCTGTTAAACTTTTAGCACAAAAACATTTCAAATTTATGATTTCAGTCTAATAACTATTAATTATAGTCAACATGTTTCTTCTTCTTATGCCGCCGGCGCCGTCTCCCTTCGGAGGCTGGCGATCCAACTGGCTATGATGGTGCGTGAAACCGCACCTCTGGGCCCGAATTCTGTAACTTGACATAAAAACGTTACGCTTTCAAAGCGGTGAGCGAAAGTATGCGATAAGCGGAACGTCAAGCAGTCGATTTTGGTATTCTCGTTGCTGTGCGAATCGTTTTCTGGATACGCGTTGAGCACATATTGACAGCATCGTAATTTCGCAGGTATCTAATAGTCAAATGTGACTAAAACAATGAAAAATGTTAATGTTACGTGAATTTTATAACCTATTGTTGAGTTATGTCAACCTATTTTCTATGGATATGTCATTATTCTTATTATACGAGGGAAATGTTGAAGACGCTTCTCAGCATTTTCGATGTTTTGAACAATATTTATAGCTACCAACTTGTAATTTGTCGATTACTTATTTAGGAATTTATAGAACAAGTAGTAGTTTTCACTAAAGAGCAAGATAACGCACGAAATCACAATTTTTTCGATTTTCACTGACAGTTCGACAAGCAAAACGATCCTTTAAGGCAACCGTTTTCAAAGCGCTTAGCGCAATCAGTAATGACGCTAAGTGCGTCAGACGAGAATACCCAAATCGTTAGTTAAGTGCGCGCTCAGCAAAAATTAACGTCATATACGCTGAGCGTCTAAAAGCGCTTAGCGTTTTCTACGTTACAGAATTCGGGCCCTGAAAACTTCGATCGATGTTCTTCCGAACCAACGATGCAGATCCTTAAGCCAGGAGTTTTGCCTTCTTCCCACTGATCTCCTGCCCTCAATTTTGCCTTCGATGACCAGTCTGAGCACCTCGTATCGATCACCCCTCACGATGTGACCAGACGTACTGTAACTTCCTTTCCTTCATTGTTGATAGGAGCGCTTTATCTTTGCCAATCCGCCTGGGTACCTCTTATTTGTCACTCTATCCATCCACGATATACGTCATATATGTCAACATGTTTAATTTATGTCAATGACGACAGGTCTTGATAATTTCGATTCCGAATATCTCGAGAACCATTACTCGTAGCGATTTTTACCACGTTTAAAACTTTTTAAAAGTTACGACGTTTTTTACGTAGAAAAGGTCTCTACGTAAAAAACGTCGTAAATGTGTATTTTTTTACTCAGTAGTTTTATACAGGTACGGACAAAAAGTTATTACTATTCAAACCAGTTAAACATATGTAGGTAGTGCCCTCTACAAGTAGGAGCTATATTGACATAAATATTTATCATCAAAAAAATCCCCAGACACAAAATTTTATCTAAATATTGAGGTTACTTCAGAAATTACTTGGAAAAAATCGCAATAAAAATGAAACTTCTTTACCTACACGTCAGCCACAATTTTATTCATTTTTCTTAAGAAAACGTAAAATAGTATACACGGTCGGCAACAGAGAGTCTTGTGTCAGATTTACACGTCTTAATCTGACGCTTTATTGCATGCGCTTTGGAAGATATTTGCTTGATATTGTTAAAAACATAGGATGTACTCTTCGTAGACACAAAAATCGGCACCTTAAGCCAGTCTTTGCCGACCGTATATAAACTACAATTTACCAGTATACAATATACAAGCAAAAAGCAAATGCTTTTTGTTTTTTGAATGTTATCATTTAAATACATTTAAATTAGAATGATACTTACCAACGGTCTCTCCAGGCACAACTATATCTAAATATTTGTAGGTTAAATCTTTTAACAGATCAACTTCAACTTTAGAACTTATTTCAACCCAATCAACTAAATTTTTAGATGTTAATTTTCCAATAACTACAATATCTGGAATAAGGAAATTTCTTCTTAAAGCCAAAAGTATATCGTCGTATGTATCTACCACTATTAGACTTCCATTTGGCCATTCTAATTCTGTTATATCTCCGGTATCTTAAAGTAATAAAGTCATATAAAATAATTTAAAAAGAAATACACATCTAATTACCTATATTAATCACGTAAGAGTTTATTGTATATTTCTGGTTAGTATTTAACAACAATCTGTTGTTACTTGCCCACGGCCTCTTAGGAAATCCAGTATTGTAAATTCCATAAAATGTTCTATTATTATTGATTAATTTTTCCTTAGCTACTATGTCAACGACGGTTTGTACTTTAGACTAAAAATTGATTATATTAGTTATATTACCTATTTAAGTATTGTCGTTGATTGAAAGAATTGTGTGTGTGTGGGTAGATACGCAACTTAATGGGCGAATTCGTGACAAGGCTGATTTGATTTTCCCTTACATCTCAAGTAAAACTGATAGTGTAAGCAACTATAAACATTATAACCTTACCTTGTCGTTCAAAGGCACACTCGTTTTAACTAAAGCCATACCAGCCATATGTGGTCCATCTGCTTTCCTTTGTAACCATACCAATGACTTACCATCGGGGGTAAAAATAGGAGACTTAACCGACTCAGATTTTAAATCTAACTGATCTATAAACGCAAGCCCATATTAATTAGTAGCAAGAGAAACATATTTATATATTACAATAATTTCCTTCAAAATCCAATTGAAAGATAGTACTAGGTCTGTTAGTACAATAGATTATTCCTAATTTTCTTGGATCAGTGAAATAAGCTACTCCTATTATGTATGAACCATCCAGTGAATATTTAGTTTTGGCGACACAAACATTTTCTGGAATGCCTTCAAGCACTTTGGCTGTATCGCTTTCAATGTCATATTGAACAATGACAGATGCTTTTTTGCCAACGAGTTGTTCTCCCCAATCTTGTTCAAACAAATACTCTTCACCCTAAATAAAAAAAAAATACTCAAATTAAACAAGAGAACACCTAGTGTGTATTCACTGATTAGATGGATAATCGAAAATATAATAATAACGGCGTCAAGTTACTTGGAAATTACCAATAAATGACATTCCCCATATCATTTTATACATATACCGGGTGCTGCATCGTCGTTGAGAACGTAGGAGATCCCATGCAAAATTTGAACTGTCCAGATATTGGCTCCCCTATGGATTTTATAGCGAAGTCGTAAATACACTTTTTAAAGGTCTACATTTGGTAAACACACATGCCAAATTTGAACAATTTTGGACAAGTCGATTTTAGGTAATTTGAGAAAAACTTAATCCATTTTTATATTAAAACCGAACAGGTAACAATCAAACACCAGTCAAAAACTGACATAGGTTACTGACTTAGGTTTACAAACTATGATTTTGTCATTGTCAAAAGCAATTTTAATAAAATTTTAATATTTAGGGAAAATTAACCGAAACATGTCAGATACACTGTCTAATCTATTTCCCGCGTATTTTATCATGTTCACTTTTTCTTTATATGTATAACAATAAATTATTACTAGTACTGAGTATTAAAATTTTATTAAAATTAAGTTGCGTTTGAAAATGACGCTGACAACTTAAGGAATGTCGGTTTTTGACTGGTGTTTGATTGTTACCTATTCGGTTTGAATTTAAAAATCGATTGAGTTTTTCTCAAATTACCTAAAATCGGCTTGTCAAAAATTGTTCAAATTTGGCACGTGTGTTTACCAAATGTAGACCTTTAAAAAGTCTATTTACGACTTCGCTATAAAATCTATAGGGGAGCCAATATCTGGACAGTTCAAATTTTGCATGGGATTTCCTATGTTCCCAACGACGATGCAACACCCGGTATAAAATAACACAAAATTATTTCGAAGATAACTCGAGGCTGTTTTTTTTTCGTTTATATGGTATTATTTTATGTACTGTTTTATTAAAATAAAAATCAAAAGGTACAAATATGTACCTTTTGATTTTTATTTAAGGTAATCACACACACAAAAGGTATACCGGGTACCGGGTCCGTCTCAAAAGTGGCTCACCCCTATAACTTTTTTATTTTTCAGATAAAAAAACGAGATTTGATATGTTAGTATATGCCATAAATTAGGATTGATTGACTTATTCAATTGTTTTCTGTCACTTCCTATTTCGCCGGAAATGACTACAACTTTTGACTTTTAAATGGCACCTTCGGTATTTTTTTACTTCATTCGATAGAAAATGACATTCTGAATAGAATGACATATCATATGTCAACTTTTGACATTTTTGCTTAAAACAAAATTGAATTTTAAATTTCAATCTAGAGTGCCATGGCTGTGTTAAAAACACTAATTTTTAATCAAGTAGCCTTGGAAAAATAGATTTGATCGTCTAATGTTATTCGTGTCTTGTCCTGGCTGGTTAAAAGATGCCCAAATCGAATTTTTAATCATATCTCAATTTTTTCAAATGGAATCAGGGTGGCTCATTAGCATATTTGGAAAAGGCATTTTTTTACGAATAATTTGGTACCACACACTTGGTATTTCGAGTCAAATTGTCGTTACGAATCGCATGTTGCAATTTCTAATAAACCATATTCGAAAATGTCAAAGTTGACATATGATATGTCATGCTATTCAAAGTATCATTTTCTATCGAATAAAGCAACAAAAAAACGAGGGTACCATTTAAAAATCAAAAGTTGTAGTCATTTCCGGCGAAACAGGAAGCGACAGAAAACAATTGAATACGTCAATCAATCCTAATTTATGTCATATATTAACATACCGAATCTAAATTTTTTATCTGAAAAAATAAAAAAGTTATAGGGGTGAGCCACGTTTGAGACGCACCCGGTATATATTATGGCATTATTTTATGTACTGCTTTATTAAAATAAAAATCAAAAGGTATCGAAAAAGGTATTATCGAAAAAAAAACAGCGTCAAAGTCGCCTACGGAATAATAATTGATACGAATCTTGATGAGGTTTATCCCTAGAAACTAAAACAATTTTAATCTACCTTAATCTACTACAGTTCCGTTAAAATTTAATAAGCATCCATTGATAGTAAAGACCGCCCAAAATTAAAAATAAAGAAATTCCTAAACTATACAAGGATTATGGAGAGATCATATATGCAGAGGATGGAACTCATGGAAAACACCAAATCGATTTGTAGAAACGTTTCCTATTCTAAACTTCAAAAAAAAACTTATTTCATATAATAAAGAAAAAAAAGCGATTGTTTGGTCACCTTGTATACCACTGTGCAAATAACGTTTATCAGATCATATATTTGTATATAGAATTGGCGCATTTCAACCGATTTTTAAAATTACGCCGAAAATTCAAAATACCGAGCAGCGCTCGTTACGGCAGAAATCAGAACTTCTCGACTCTGTATTTCACTCCGTCCCGGTTACCGTTCATGTTCATCGCATTGAAATAATACTGAAATCTTAGCTATATTTGATATCAATTAAACTTTTAGCCAGGTAATCGAGGGCGCGATTTTAAAATTCATTGGTGCCAACCATGGACATATTCGACGTCGGGCTGAAATCTTGAATTTAAATTTCGCACTGGGGATTCAGGTGGTAGTTCTGCTATAAAAAATGTCAACTTGCCACATTTATTTATTTATTTCCTAACATTGTCATTCGTTTTGACACTTCAGTTTTATATTACGAGTTTCTAGTTTAAATAAATAGTGTTGTGATACTTAAGCTTAAAAATGTTTATTAGCAGACCTTGCAGTCGAACATTGTTCTTTTTAGAACCACTTTTAGTGCGAAGTGTACAAGATAGCTTAATAGCCGTAAAAAACTATCGCAACTTTATTAGAATAATTTGAACGGGAAAACGGTAGTAATGGCCTACCTTAAGTGCTCTTAAGAAAGTGAGTCTTGTTGATGTAAATAATAACTATTTATATATTTAAAATTAGTTTATTTTTGTTTCCTAAAATATTTTGATTAAAGAAAATATGTAAAAGTGGGCAACGCTGTGCTGGTCAAGCTTCAGAAGCTTCTTTTAGTCAATCACGTGACTGAAAGTTTATTTGATTTAAACTACATGAGATAATATTTAAGTATTCTGGTTGTTGCTAGCGCAGTTATTGAAACTAATTCTAGTGCGAAATTTGTGTGATGTAACGCTGTTTCGGGCAGTACAATTAAGTGAAAAAGAACCCGAACTGAGCAACACGTTGTGTTGTGACAATTTTAAATGATAAATAAAATAAATAAATAAATGCCTTTATTTTCAAAAAATGTTACAATTTGTAGACAAAGGTAAACTAAACAAACAAAGTAAACAAACAAGGTACACAAACAAGCAAACAAAAGATAATACAAAACATTATACAAATAATATTGTCAGTCTTATTGTTTAAAATAAACATTTATAAATGTTTACAATGTCAAAGAATAAAAAAAATAAAAATAATATTCAAAAATATTTAGTTAGTTTAGTAAATATCACTGACCTCTAAATAAATTTATTTCGATGTCATTGGGAAATATAGCAATAGTAAATATTAGACCAGTGTTTACAAGATCAAATTCGATTATCAAAATATAATTCATTTACGGCGTAGAAAGCCTTGTCTAGTAAATAAGAGTTCAATGCTGTGCGAGATGAAGAAAATTATGTTATGGATTTGATTTCAGATGGCAGGTGATATTTGATATAATAGGTGTGCATTTTTTTCGAGTTGTATAATATTGAACTTTTAACTAACTCTGAGCGTGGGGTAGGTAGATAAAAATCTTGTTCCGCGTTCCTGAGTGGATAAGTGTGAGATGGCCTTTCTTGAGAAGCTGATACATGCTTACGTATTAGGCAAACGGATTCAAATATAAATAAGGAAGGAAGAGTTAATATTTTTATTTTTTTAAAAAAGTCCTGGCAATGAGTTCTGCTGTTTAGTCGCAGTGAATATCGAACAGCCCTCTTCTGGAGCTTGAAAATGCGGTCAAATTGAGTCGCACAACACATACCCCAGAATGGAAGGGCATACCTGAGATGCGACTCAAAAAGTGCATAATAAACAGTTCTAGCCACTGACAAGTTAAGCTCCTTAGAAACAGATCTTAATGCAAAACAGGCAGAGCTTAATTTTTTCGACAAAGCTTCGATATGCATGTCCCATTTCAGAGAATTGTCTACAACAAGCCCTAAGAATTTTACAGATTTTACGACGTCAATGGTTGTGTTGCTAAATACAAAAGGCTGCAGCGAGTTTTTATACGACAAAGCTTTAGTTTTAGAAATGTTGAGACTCAGGAGGTTCGAATACACCAGATTTGGTGATTAAGAATATATATATATATATATATATATATATATATATATATATATATATATATATATATATATATATATATATATATATATATATATATATAATATATATATATATATATAATTCGATCACGACGATACTTGCCGAATACTTGCCTTGATCGAATATCGACGATATGACGATACTTGCCTTGATCGAATTCGATCGACGGTACTTACCGATGCCGGTTCGCTGATTCATTCGCTCCTTCATTTATCGTTGTTTTCCTTTTATCCTGTTTATTTAAACTTGTTTTGTCAAACATTGGATGGTTTGGCTTCTGGTAAGCAATTCACAATTTTTTTATTATTTCTTTAATTGTTTAATATACCAGCAATTATCAATTAATAACATACACAAATACGTGTGGAATTTATATTCGTTTTAGTCTTCTCATATCGATCTATTTTTTCTCTTTTGGTTAAATTCCTTATCGTTTAAACTACTTGTTTTTGTTATCATAAAGAGTTTTCGCACCAAATTCCTCTATAATGGTCAAAACATCGTGCAAACACTGTAAAAAATTTATTGGTAAAACTTCCTATAGAATAGGTTGTTCAGGAGGCTGCAAGGGCTGGTATCACTCGCACTGCGCCCAACTGACAAGGGTTGAAATCGAAG